TGGCAGTGTTCTATCTTTACAAAGCAACCACCATACCAGTGGAGGATAGAATTTATAAAGGATTGGAAGCCCTCTCTAGAGCTCTGTTCTCACTGGCATGCCCTGCTCCTCACTTTTCCGAACCTTGGCTGACTGCTCGAAGTCTCTGAAAAGAGATCCTACCACTGCTGCGGTTGATCCCTTGTTTATGAAACGTTTGGAGCAAATTGTAGCTGTAAACTACGATTGTCACGTGCTTCAGTATGCTTCCCGTCTCATCTTCCATCCCTCTCTCTGGCTCCAGTTCTCCCAATGTAAATTTGTCTGGATGTGGTTTTGGTTTTTGAGGGTCTATCTCTCAGCTACTTCTTTCAGGAAGGCTGATTCTCTTTTTGTCATTCAGGATTGACCTCGTAAAGGTGCTTCAGCTACTCGGTTCACCATTTCTAGGTGGCTCAGGCAGAGCATTATTCATGCCTATGTTTTCCAGGATCAGGTTCCAGCCTTTCCTGTCAAGCTGTACTCTACTAGCTCTTGAGTGCTCATTGGGCCTTTCAACGTGTAGCAACTAGGGATGCACCGATATATCGGCCGCCGAAACATTTCGTCCGAAAATTGCACTTTTGGCATAATGCTGAAAGTGCCATTTTCCTGCCGATCGGCGCATCCCTGCTTTCTTTCCTCCCTGCTGGGCGCTGCCCTGTGTCCCAGCGGGGAGGAGAGGAAGTGTGACAGCCAGACGAGCGCTGCGGGACGAGAGCGCTGTGAGTGGCCGGCTTCTCCTCCCACACCGCTCAGCCTCCTATCACAGTCCGGCAGAGCGGTGTGTGGGCGCAGACAGGCCGCGCTGTCACAGTAGGCTGAGCTCTCCTCCCTACACCGCTCGCTCAGCCTCCTGTGACGACGTGTCAGAGAGGAGAGCGAGTTACAAGCAGTCAGCGATCAGTGATCTCTGAGTGTTTGTACATAATTGAGGACAGAGTATGTATACTGTATCCTCAATTATGAATGAATGGGAAGTGATCTACATCACCCCCTGTTCATTCATAGTTGTAGTTATAGTAAACATACTCTGTCCTCATGTTATCAATGAACAGGAACACTCATAGAGGATTCCTGTTCATTGATAACAAGGGCTGCAGAAAAAGAGATTGAGGACTCTGTGTCCTCAATTTCTTTTTCTATTTTAAAAGGGAAATATCAGGGGTCTGTTTAGATCCCTAATATTTCCCCAAAGCCCCTAAAAGTAAAGTAAAAAATAAAAATATTGAATAAAAAATGAATTGATAAATATAATTTTTTTTAAAAGTGTATAAAAAAATAAAATAATTAAAAAATTTGAAAAAGTTAAAATAAAAAACATTTTCGGTTTCGGCCTGACAATTTTATTTTGTTTCGGTTTTAAAATATCCATTTCGGTGCACCTCTAGTACCAACTGTTTCTCAGATTAGCAAGGCATACATTTGGTCTTCTGTTCACACATTCTCAGAGATCTACCAGGTAGACGTGGAGAGCTCAGTGATGATGATCTTGCTCTCAGTACTGTTTTGCTGCTAAACTGAACTGTGACATACTGGTAGTAGGAGGGGCTATCCTGGGTGCCGCAGTGTTCAATTCTCCTGTAGGTGTCAATATAATCTGAAGGTGAAGACTACCTGTATGCCTCTATATTGACTCCAAGCAAGATTTTATGGGAAGTAGAAAATCCGATTATTTCCATTCCTGTTTCATTTTCTTTCCTCAGTGTGTCCCGCTGTTTGTTGAAGCCGTCCTTGAACGGTTAACACGAGGGGTAAAATCCAGCGAGCTGCGCACCATGAGCTTGCAGGTTGTCATTGCAGCTCTGTATTATAACCCGGCTTTGCTCCTCAACACCCTGGAACAGATCCGCTTCCCGCACAGCTCGGAGCCAATCACAGCACAATTCATCAACCAATGGGTGAATGACACCGACTGCTTCTTGGGGCAAGTAATGTATTGCTTTGGTATCCACTACGCAGCCCAGGCATCACTATTATGCTCTTTGCAAGATTTGCCAAATTATGTTATTTTGATGCAAAACTTCAATCCCGTTTCTCTAGTTAATCCAAATATGATTCTGCATCTGCAGCGTCCAATTTTTTCTGTTATGTGGCCAAGGCTTAAAATGATCAAACCATGTTCAGATTTCCCTGCGTGCATTGCTTCTCTCCTGACTCTGCTAAGTCTACTGATTCTAGATGCCAAGTTGTTCTGCACACCCAGGGACTCCCATATGTGTTAAAAACTCTTAAAGCAGTTGTTAAAAGTGTGCGAGATTTTCTATAAAGCAGTTTAAAAATAAAGGGTTTGCCCACCCAAAAAGTTATTTACTTGGTATAGAACAAGTAGAGGGAGGCAGATGGCCTGAACCACTTGCTCTATATCTCTTGGAGACTTCAGCAGGAAGAACTCCTTGCCATCTTTTCCTGGTTCCTTTCCCCCCTACCTGGGACTTTTGGGTGTCTGCTCCTACTATGGTGTTTTCCAGTCCCTCCTTTTCCATTTTGCATAAAGCAAAATACGTAATCGTTCCAACAGGCATAATGGGACCCCCTAGTAATGGTCACGGAAGATGCCCCGACCCGAGAATTCTCCGGTGTTAAACACTGAAATATTAGTTTGAGTGGGATTGATTAACTTGCTATAAGGGGACTCAAGTGCGTCCTCTGACATTACCAAAGGGTCACACATAATATTCAGTGTATGTAATGCTACAGAACATGGTCACAGACTGGACATACTATAGTAAATTGTCAGAGACTACAAATATGCTACAGGTGGGGTCAGAGACTGTGGACAAGTTACAAGAGACTGATAGAGATCACTGCCATTACAGTCCCTTTACAAGTCAGAGCCTACTTCAGGCCCCTAAAAAAAAAAAAGACTGGCACCACATTTGATATTACTAAACATTTTAAACCTCCCTTTACGGTCTTCATATTTGCCTGCAGGCTGCATGATAGGAAGATGTGTGTAATCGGCCTCAGTATTCTCATGGAGCTCCCAAACCGACCAGCAGCTGTTAATGCTGTGGCCTCACTCATCGTGCCTTCCATTCTCCTCCTCTTCCTCGGGCTGAGGCAAGTGTGTGCCAACCGTAACCATCCGGACAGGAGAACGTCGTCCCGCAACACAAAAACTGACACCGAGGAAAATGGTGAGAGAGCCACAACTAATGATGAAAAGGAAGTTGCCAGTAAACCTGTATTGGCCAGTTATATACTGGGTTTGATCTGCCTCTCGCTGGTAAAAAGGGATGTGCACTTTCAAATGTGGCTGCTGTTACCCCATCATTAACTTGAACAGGTGACAGCAGCTGCTACTAAACCGCATATTTAGGAATTAGTGGCGCAAGAATCCCAAAATGCACACTCTCACCTAGTGGAAATGTATCCTTTGTTTTAATCAATGGAAATGTTTTCTCTTGAAGAAGAGATTCCAAGTGATGAGGAGGAGCCGAACAGCTTGGGGCAGGCCATGCAAGGGGACACCCGGGAGGATGAGGAGGAGGATGACGATGAGGACTGGGATGATGAAGCACTGGAGGAGACAGCCTTGGAAGGGTTTAGCACTCTGCTTGACTGCCAGGATGCCTTGGACGAATACCAGTTCTTTACAGACGCCTTGTTGGGTAAGCGTCCGATACAGCTTTGTGTGTTATGTGCATGGAATGTTTTATATTCTCAGTACAAATGAAGACATCGGCGGATGGGTAGAACTTTTCTCTTTATATCTGGGAGGGCCCAAATAATGATGGTGAATAGACCTTGTTGATGCTCATGTGTCATTTCTGAGCTGGCATCTACTTGGAAGTAGATGGTGACCCTGGATCTTCGCTGAACAAAGATGGGGCCAGCCTAGAAAAACAGATGGAGGCATTGTCATGGGGAGTACTGTGATCCCTGTGAGAAGTAATAAATACCTGAAAGTGTTACGCTGACCCATTACTTAGTATGAAAAGTATATCTGATGCCAGGTTCATTTTTAAAGACACTGAGAAAAGCACAAGCAGGGGTATCTCTGTACATGTATTATGATCTCTTCCCTTGTACATGGAGAAGTGCTGATCATGTGCCCGGCTCTTCTTCTGACTCAGGTATACAGAGCAGGGACCCGGCCTGGTATCACTCGCTGACGTCGCCTCTCAGCAATGACCAGAAAAAGCAGCTGCAGGAAATCTATACGCTGTCGGAGCAACGGAAGAGCGCAGCCGGTAAGGGGCCCATTCCATGACTGTGGACTCCATACTCCATGTGTACTCCATGTGTCAATTAGTAGGAAAATCTGTGACCTTGTACCCATTATTACACTGTAACCCTTTCACTGCCAGCCCATGCATTCCACTTCTAACCTCGGCGGCCAATACACTAAAATCATGATCGGCGCACACAACAAACAATAATTTACAAGATTCCTACTAAAGCTAAAAGATAAAACGGTGTCGCGGTGATAAATTACAGATATTTGTCATTTTTTTAAAAATTGCGCCTTTTTGTGAAACGGTAAAAAAAGCAAAGGTGCGCAAAACTGCGAATGATCAACGTATGCTCAAAATCTGGACGTTGGCCTGACACTTGTGTTGTGGTAACGCCTGATCTGCAGCGCCGTGCGTTGGTGTGTGTTGCGATACAATGATGCAGGCACGCATTTCATCACAAGTGTTTTACAATGCATGGTGGTACGGTGCAGCGCTTTCCCACACGAATCCATGTTATTTTAAAAAGTGAAAAAAATTTAGCACTGTTATGTGTTCTAGCAGTTCACCACAGCGCATGTGCATAGTGCTCACCACATTATTGTGCATGCCGTTGCATGTGTATATTATATGTGTTTGGGGGGAGGGGCTTTATTTAACTTTTTTTTTTAAACCTTCTTTTTTTATTTTATTTATTTCCTTTTGAAATAGAAAAAGAGATCGAGTACTCAGTCTCCTTCTCTGCAGCCCCAGTACTCACTGAACATAACAGAACTCAGTACAGAGCACCTTCTGTTCATTCACATAGTGAGGAGATTACTGTCCCCAGTTATGAATGGACAGGATGTGATCTGTGCAGAGCTCCGCCCATCCAGTCATAAACTGGGTAGAGGGTAAAAACTTACTATGTCCCAAGTCATGAATGAACGGGGAGTGATTTGTGGCGCTTCTTGTTTATCCATAAAAGGGGACATACTAAACACTATCTTCTCCTATTTTACATACAGTGGTACCTCGGTTCACGCACTTAATTCGCTCCACGATTCTGGTTGCGTATCGAATTGGTCGCGAACCGAATCAAACTGTGATCAGACCGCGATCTCGACTAGAGGAAGCCACGACCATGTGTCAGAGCGGGGAAGATGGCTGCGGTTGTGTTCGACACCCGATGTGGTCACGAACGTAAGAAACATTTTGCCGAACTTCCTGTTTGCGAACAGAAGCGTTCGTGTACCGAGGTACCACTGTATTTCCTGATCCTCCACTCGCCATCCTGAAGAACTCCGCCCCCTCCTGCCTGTCACAGATCTCTTCTCCCTGCTGGGTGCCGGCAGGTGAATTGGCTTTGTGTCCCCTCTGATTCCTGCTGTCTCTGCCAGCTGAGGGAGAGCAGTGGGGATCAGAAGGGTCACAGACTGGAGCATGCAGCCAGCAGGGGGAGGGTTAGGCTTTGTGCCTCCTGAACTTGCTACCAAATTACTTCTGGAAGAGTCTATACCCTAACATACCCCCCCCCCCCCCCGCGCTCCCACCCCAAACGTCTTACCTTGTCCAGGATCCCCACAGCGTCCTCCATCTTCCGTCCTTCAGCTACTACCGGGCTGAGCCAATCACGGCAGGCTTTGTATTCATTAATAGAATACATCGCTCGCCGTGATTGGCTCAGCGCGGCATACTGTATGTAGCCGAAGCTACCGTACATACAGTATTACCGCACATCCAGCGGGCTGACAGATTAGTATTACCGCACATCCAGCGGGCTGACAGATTAGTATTACCGCACATCCAGCGGTATTGTATACCCGGCGTATAAGACGACCCCCGATTTTCGGGGGATGTTTTTAAGTCTAAAAACTCGTCTTATACGCCGACAAATACGGTATATGATTGCTGTCTGTGCTGGCCCAGTTCCTCCCCCCTTTCTTCACCTATATATGTTTTTATGTAGCTGCTGGGGTAGGAATGAATACTATAAAGTGCCACTTGAGTGACAGCTCTGAGTCTGCTGGAGCTGCTGACATCACATCCAGGATGGCAGCACGCAGTAGCAGTCTCAGGATATTTGGATGTCTACACAAGGTGTACTTTTACAGGTAAATAAGGTGCATGAACTAAGATAAATGCTCATATATTCTTTTGGGAAGATTGTTGTTAATGACGTGGTCTGGCAGCAGGGTCTCTTTAACTATCCCTTGGCAGCACATGAGGCAGCTGTCAGCGGGGTGGTTCAGCCTCTGCGGGTGGTAGACCTGCATTGTTTATATTGTTCTCACACAACCTGTTCTAGTCACAACTGTGTGTTTTCTTCCCCCAGCGTCTCGAAATCTTTCTGCACCTATATATGTTTTTATGTAGCTGCTGGGGTAGGAATGAATACTATAAAGTGCCACTTGAGTGACAGCTCTGAGTCTGCTGGAGCTGCTGACATCACATCCAGGATGGCAGCACGCAGTAGCAGTCTCAGGATATTTGGATGTCTACACAAGGTGTACTTTTACAGGTAAATAAGGTGCATGAAATAAGATAAATGCTCATATATTCTTTTGGGAAGATTGTTGTTAATGACGTGGTCTGGCAGCAGGGTCTCTTTAACTATCCCTTGGCAGCACATGAGGCAGCTGTCAGCGGGGTGGTTCAGCCTCTGCGGGTGGTAGACCTGCATTGTTTATATTGTTCTCACACAACCTGTTCTAGTCACAACTGTGTGTTTTCTTCCCCCAGCGTCTCGAAAAATCGAACAGCAGCAACAGCTGTCGGGACAAATGGTTGGCGGTTCTCGGCAATGAGCTGTGGAGCTGCAAAGGACTCTGGGACGTTTGCACTACCATATTTTGTAAATGCCATTGACCTCAGACTTGGGAGCGACCTTTAACAATTATTTGCCGGCTGCTGCAGCGGAGCCCATCGATGAGCATTTACACCGACTTCGGGAAGAGTGTGGTCTTCTTTTCTCTGTTTTCTTCTCCAGAGACAGCAGAACCAATCATGAAATGACTGAGGAACTGTGTAAATGATTGCTTTGAGGGCTTTGGACTCGGGACCCTGCTTCAACTGGCCCATGCACTATTACTCATTCCTATCATGTGCTCCCTGGCTTCCCTGCACTTGGATTCTGCATATCAGCAGTGGTGTGTACTGCTGACCCCGCCCACGAGGAGCAGATTCATGAATGACTCTTAATGAAATTTGACTTTCAAACCCTTCTCTTAATCACCAGTGTAACATTGATCGCCAGCCTTTTACATCCTTGTCATTCAATAAAGAAGAGTGTGTGTTTGCAGCTCATATACAAACTGTTGGCTGCACAGTACGTCTTTGTCAATATTTTTGAAGCTGTGAAATATATTTGTCAGTTCAGTAAAGTAGATTCAACTATAGTAAACTCCCAGTTATCCAGCACCCATGGGGATTGGTGGGTGCCGGATAACTCTGGTTGCTTGATAGTTAATAATAACTCTCAAGCAAAGCAACCCCCAACATCCATGCAGCCAACCCCCTTCTGCGGCCAACAGGCAAATGTAAGCAGCCGGGAGCAATATCCAGACTGCTATTGGCTATTTCAACTTTCAATCGCAGGCTGGCTTTTGAAAACCTGCCCACTGAGCAGACGAGCGGACCTGAGAGAGAAAGTTCTCTTATTGCAATTTGTAATGGCCAATAGCAGGCTGGCTATTTCTCCTCATTGTTTACACTCTGCTGCCGACCGCAGAATCTAGCCGCCAGACGGCAGAAAGATGTAAACAAAGAATTGAATGACATTTTTCAGCGTGCACCAAGCAATCAACAATCTCTTTTAATGTACATCAAGCGTGTGCATATTATGTCCTCAATTTTTATTTTTTTGCCGGTTTCTTGAATGCCAGATAATGGGGAGTTTACTGTATTTGGTTGACGGAAGACAAACAACTGCGAATGCAGCTCTTCCATAGACCAATAACCATCTTTTATGCACAATTTTTATGAATGAAATTTCGATTTCCAGTAAGTTTCTATTTGATGTCTGGAAAATCCTTGCAGTATAGCGAACACATCTGATGGTCGCTATTACCCAATCTCATCCTCTAAGGAATTGAAAATGATTGATTACATACATCCATGTAACCGCCATCATACCTAACGCTGGCCTTGTGTTATAGGCAGATTGTACATTGTATTAAAGTGTATCTATATCCAAAAAGTTTTTTCTTCCATTTTTAGGCAGAGTATAGAACACTGAAAACGACAATACCGGCGCCCCCGGTTTGCAGAGAAATCCGGCTGTGAAGTTCATTAGTACACCATAGGGGCAGCTCCCACCGGTCAAAAAAGACCATCGATCTGGGAAACAAAAGGAAAACAGAGCGCCTCCATAGTGTAAATGTTTATTTGATTGGTACAACACGCAACTGAAATTGTACTTACACGAAAGCCAATGATCGCAAGCATAAAAGAAACGATAAAATATAAAATCTCCAGCAGGGGAAGTCTGAGGGGATCTCCAAATCAGCGTCCTCTGCTCCCGTGAGTTTAAAATGGTCTACGCGTTTCAGGGGCACGCCCCCTTCATCAGAACCTAAGGTAACTCTCCTAAGTCCTGTTCTTTTATTTAAAAGATGACCAATCGTAAAGGTTTTGTCTTTGACAAAGGTGTTTGGGCCAATCTCCGGTAATTGAGATTTTTGCTGACTTCCGTCTGACAGGCAGACAGCTGTTATTAGTAGAGACTAATTTTTAACCTATTCAGTTGAAAAATTACTATTTCTTGATGTATGGAACAAGCTATCCCTACAGGATAATAGATGTTTGTGAATTCAAGAGACTAGTTTTAATGAGAGATATCAAAACAAGAAAAAAATAAATAAATAAAAAGCTTATTGGATATCGAGGAATAGATCCTCTAAAAACAGACCTAAAGCCGCTCTAGTGTTCGCTGCCTGACGTCTGAGCCCGCTGGAAACTTTGTATTTCATGTACATTCGTGGTTTCTTTTAGACTTAATTGAAACAATACAGACAAGTGGAAATTAGTTTAAATTCAAGTCAAGAAATATCCTCCGCATACATATAGTCCCATTGCGGTATTTGCTGGGAGACAACAGGAAGTTTTATCGATACCTCTAAAATGAATATAGCAGGAACCTTCAACAATTAATGAATATAACAGACTTTGAATAAAGAGCCATAATGACAAATTGATGCTGTATAACCAACACGATCATACAATGTAGATGCAATTTATACCACGTTAATATCTCTATTAGACTATTGATTCATATGGTATACGTTCGCCTGAGAGGAAGAATCATTTATTTTTATTTTTAGACCCCAGTGTTGATATAAATGGACCGGTCAATATAATTTTTGGCCCCCAATATCAACATGTATCTTTAAAAACTGACAACATCTATCTTTGAAATGTCTCCAAAATGAAGGGTGGGATCAAAAATCGAAATCCCTTATTGGTTGGAGCCATTATTTCAATCTTTGTGTGCTGTATAAATATTGTTTTGTTATATATTAGTAGTATAAATGTATAATTTAACATAATCAATTATAAGAGAACACAATGAATCTAAAATATTTAAAAGTTACATTTAAAACCATAACATGTAAAAAGGCCGTTTAACTACCTTCCGTCCATGGCCGGACGGACGTCTGCTAGGAGCGGGAGGGCGTCTTAAGACGTCCTGCCCCTCTCGTGTGCGGCACTCAGCGCGCACACGAGAGGGAAAACTGTAAGCATGTAAACAGCCAGCGATGGCTGTTTACATACAAGCGATCAGGCGTCTCTAGAGACGCCCGATCGCTTGCAGGAGCTGCGGGTGTGCGCCGCCCCCCCCCTCCCCCCCGTACCTTTGTCTGCTCGTCGCCGCTGCCGGTCCGTGATCCGATGTGGCTGGTGCGGCTGGGACCGGCACGGCGACGCTCTAACAGCAGATCAAAGGGAGATCATTACTTAAAAATAAAAACCCCAGTGGTGATTAAATACCACTAAAAGAAAGCTCTATCTGTCCCCAAAAAATGGTATGAAATTCATTTCAGTACAGCGTTGCATGACGGAATAAACATCAGTCAAAGTACCGCAGCGCTGAATACTGAAAATGGCCTGGCCAGGAAGGGGATGAAACACCATGGCCTTTAAGTGGTTAATAAATGGTGGGTAAAATAGTTCTGATTGTTTGAAGCCACTGGTGATATAAAAGTTGGACAATATTAACATAAGATGAAGGGGTCGTAATCGCCTGTGGTAACGTTTTTGATACATAAAATAAACCTTTTTTACTTATTAATCTAGAAGGATGGTTTTTTATGTGGTATCCAAACAGGTTTTGTTTATGTATGGGTGATGAAAAATTCTTTGGGACCCTATTTGAGATAAGGAGACATAATTTTATAGCATTATTTTCACAGAGCCGATGCCAATTCTATCCCTTCGTTTAGCCCCATTGGAAAAGAGTATTTAGTGAATAAATCCAAAAAGCCTCCCTCCGACATAACCTTTTGTATCTATTCCCCTCGTCCAGATCTGAAGAAATTAGTTCAATGCCAAAGACCTTCATGCCTTCTGGACTATGGTTGTGGAAATTCAAGAAGTGTACAGGTATTGAATGGTCATCAGCTTTTTTAATTATGTTTCTTTTATGCTCGCCAAATCTCGTTCTTAAAGTCCTAATAGTACGTCCCAAATACAATTTGCCACAAGGACATAAAATTCCATAAATAACAAAGGAAGATGCACAATTTAATAAATTGTTTGATAGGAAACACTTTCCCTTTTTGTCCCTCAACCACTTTTTTTTGGTGCCAAAAATAGGCACAGGCCCCACAATTTGGTGCATTGCACCTATAACAACCTGTTTGACCAAATAATCCCTGGTCAAGTTGTAAACCCCTCTGGGTCTTAATTTTACTTGGGGCTATCTGTCTGCGCAGGTCATTCGGTTTACGAAAAATTACTTGGGGGGTGCCCTGGGGAGAGATGTCATTAGGTAGGGTATAGAACACTTAGAACCCCTGTCAGGTTTTTATTGCTGAAATCGTAAGAGGCTTTAGATTGACTGTCTGTCTGTCTGTTTTAAGCCTGCTGTGGGCCGGCCCCTGCCTATAAATGGCTGGCTGATCTTGCCCTATTATTCTAGGTAGGACGTACCATTGCATTACCATTACATCCTGCCGTGCCCACGCAGAGTCCATTGCTCCCACTGTCATTAGGCAGCAGAGAGCATCGGCTTCAGGCTCAGAGCCCATAGGACTGGCTCTGTGCCTTGTGATCGGTTATCACAGAGATCACATGGTAATGTTTACATTGCCAAGCCTTCTCCTTCCTCTTACAACAAAGGCAAGGGAGAGTAAAGGAAGCAATGAATGAAAGAGTCATTTTTCATTGGACATGTGCACCTGCAAAAAATGTTTTCGTTTTGATTCGGATTTTGTGTTATTTAGTTTTTTGGGATTCAGGTCCGAAAGTCAATTCGTTTCGGGAATCGGACGGAATTCGTTAGTGGTAGTCTGTACGAATTTTTGTTTTGTGGACGAATTTTCGTTGCAGCAAAGTGACATTAAAAACAGTCTGCAGAAGAGAAAAAAAGTGTGTGGTCCCCCCCCCCCCAATTGATACGAGACCCTTTAAGTCTGGTAGGAATAATAGGAGGGACCGAAATAATAGGAGGGACCCCAAAATCCATATCCAGGCACAGGTCAGGAAAGGGGGGGTGCGATCGAGCGCCTCCCTGCGCCTTTAACCGGCCACATGCTCTCAGCATTGGGAGGGTGTCCCTGTGCCGATGGGTACAAGGGCCTCTTCCCCACAACCCTGATCCGGTGGCTGTGGAGGTCTGCGGGCATGGGGGCTTATTTGCATCAGGGTACCCCTTTTAATTAATGGGGCACCCAGATGCCACCCCCCCTTGTGAATGAGTAAGGAATGAGAAAAAATACTAAAGGGTCTGGTATGAATTGGGGGGAACCTCATGCTTTTTTCCCCCCTCTTCTGCAGACTAAAAAAAGTCTTCCACAAACAACATTTCGTACAGACTACCTCTAACGCATTTCATCCGAATCCCGAAAAACTAAATAACGCTAAATCCAAAACTAAACAAATGTTTTGCCGGTGCACATGTCTATTGGCTACCTGGCTCCTGGGATTTGTCCAGTCCTGTCCTACTCCATCAGTTTTTGCCTTCTCCAGGAGGTCAATAATGGAAGGGTCTCTCTCCTAAGGGTAGACCTCCTTAGGCTTTTTGGTAGCTATAAAATTTGGTCGGCACTGTTTTTAATTCTGGTGGAGATCACTTGCTTTAGAACTCTTCAGGAACTATAAGAAGGCAGAATGTTATTCACCTTGGAAGGAACTATGCCAAAGTAAAATGAGTTTTGGGGAGAGTTGTCCTTTTCGTGTGGGTTAATCATTACCTACATCCAACCAAGGTTGCTCCACAGCTGGCCCTCGCATGGACTTCCCATCATCTGCCTCCCAGATTACCAGAGGCACAGGATATATATATACAGTATAAATACCTGTGCAAGAGAAGGACAGACGCAGCGTCCCAGCAATCACCACTACCACTTGGTAAAATGGTGCGGTACGTCCTCCTCCTGGCCCTCATTGGGCTTTGCAGTGCCCAGTCCCGGCTCGGTAAGATTGCATAACTTCTGCTGGTGTATATATCCTTCAAGGCAGCCTTTCGTAGCCGGGGGTGCTGTGGAATAGGCCCTCTATTTATCCTGGTGACCTTCAAAACTATGCTAACGGGGGGGGGCTCGGATATAAAGTGGCTCCTGATGTGAAGGGGGGACTCTGATATAAAAGGGGCTCCTAATGTGAAGGGGGAAGCTCCACTTTGTCTATTTTTGCCTAGGGTCCTCCCCTAGGGTGGTATTGATTTTGGGAAGGCGGGGGGACCATATGCCGTTTTCTACATTATAGACTGGGGTGCCTCAAGATTGTGCATGCTGAAAAAAGGTTGAGAAATGCTGCTTTAAGCAATAAGCTCTGGTATATGTCGAGGACTCCTTGACATACAGTACACACAACACTTGACATATTCGGTGATTCGTTACTAGAGACCATTCATTTTAAATGAGCTAGCAGCTCACCATAACACACGAGAAGTCAATCTGAACATTCAGGGCAAAGTGGCAGGTTCTCTTGTAAGACGGACCCTCACCTAGTGATGGTTTGCAGCAACCATGGGTTCGAGGTCAATCCAGCGGGCTTCAAATTCTTTGTGCAGATCCCACAATTCACCATAAAACACTGCATGGTGTTAGAACTATGGCCAGCAGACTTAGAAGGGCAAATGAGAGGATTTTGTAAAAGGGAGGCACAGAGTAACCATAGTGTCACAAAGAATCGGAAGCGTATAGGGAAAGCTGACAAACTGCCTAGGGAGAGATTAGGGGTAAGTTAGGAGACGGTCATTTAATTCTGATAGGTAGCTTTTTGGGCAATCAATCCCTTTGCAGTTTATTTTCTTATTTTTTGTCTTTTATTTTCTAGTTGCTGCCCACCTATAACAAACTTTCTTTTTTTCTGCAAAGAAAATGGGCTTTTGCTTAAGAGTACTGTATTTTGGGATTTTCTTTTATTGTTGGAGTATATATTTTTTTATGTTGATAGGACCTTTATTTAAGGTCATACTGCTTTTTTGGTTGCAAGTGGTCTTTTGTCTCATGGGTGGTATTTTGAAGTCTTCATTTATTTTATTTTTTATACATAGGGGCTTTGTTATTAGGTTTTAGGTGCATTCACTTATGACCATCTCGGGGATCCCAACCTGAAAAAAAGCAATTTCAGGTAGGTGCCCTCTGCCCCCCCCCCCTCCCCCTTAATAGCTAGATTGCTATTGGCTATTTCAATTTGCAATATCCAATATCAAGCTGGCTATTGCACCCGCCCTGCTGCTGTCAATCAATAGAAGAGGGTCTGATGGAGAACTTCAGGTCCACCTCTGTTGATTGACAGCAGCAGTGGGCAGGTGCAATAGCTAGTCTGCTATTGGCTATTGCAAAGTGAAAGAGCCAATAGCAATCTAGCTTTGCATTCCTATGCTGTTTTTTTGGGGGGGTTTTTTCTCTGACTGATGGTGGCTGGCGGCCCCGATGCCAGAAAAAAAAATCAGCAGGGAAAGGTTTACTCTGCTAGATAGAGCAGAGTAAACCTTTCAGGGAGGAAATGTTTCTCTCCCGAGCGGCCGGGAGCCGCTATCTAATAGCGTGAGACTCCCGGAACGTCCGGCAGAGTTGGGATGTCTGCCACCTGTTCTTGAAGATGCCTTTTGTTCACACCGCAATGCTACATCATTTCAAAGAAGAAAATAATTAGTGCAAGAATAGTGTGTGCCTAAACCACCCCACCTTCTATTATTCAGTCAAAGCACCTCACTATTCTTATGGCATCCCCTGGCATATACCAGTCAGGCCTATTATCCCTGATTAGAACTGTCTTACGGCTGGCCAGTTTTAAACATCTGTATCATCTGCAATATCTTAATTGTAGTAAAACCCCAGCCTGTGCTCCTTGTCTCCAGTAAATTTGGGCCTTGCCTTGTTCATTAAAATCGTCCTGCTTCTGGCCAATTGTACACGGTTGTATTATCTGTGGTCTCTTCATTCTGGATAGAAATTGGCTAGAATTAGGACAATTTTTCATCAGCATGAACACCGTTGGGCTCACCAAACTACAGGTCATTTCCGTCTGATGGTCATAGTGGGTCTATTACCATTTGTTGAAAAAGCATGTGTTGTCACTAAAACATATTTTTTTTTTTTGTAGGCTCTTACAATTTGGATAGTGCTGTGACAGTTTCTGGATTGTCCTCTGGGGCCTACATGGCCAATCAGTTCCACGTGTCGCACTCCGGAAAGGTCACAGGAGCCGCCATCTTTGCAGGAGGTAAGTATAACTATGTGGATGATAGCTGGAGAATGATTGTTTGTTCTTTGTTGTATGCCTGCTCAGATGTAACATGTTTTGAAGCAAAAGAACAGATCATCAGGATAGAGGAAGGAGCAGAGTTCTCCAGCAGTGCAGAGTATTTCAGGAGAGGAGAGTTATATGGAGGAAGGAGCAGAGTCCTCCAGCAGTGCAGAGTATATCAGGAGAGGAGAGTTAGATAGAGGTAGTAGCAGAGTCCTCCAGCAGTGCAGAGTATTTCAGGAGAGGAGAGTTAGATGGAGGAAGGAGCAGAGTCCCCAAGCAGTGCAGAGTATTTCAGGAGAGGAGAGTTAGATGGAGGAAGGAGCAGAGTCCCCAAGCAGTGCAGAGTATTTCAGGAGAGGAGAGTTAGATGGAGAAAGGAGCAAAGTCCTCCAGCAGTGCAGAGTATTTCGGGAGAGGAGAGTTAGATGGAGAAAGGAGCAGAGTCCCCAAGCAGTGCAGAGTATTTCAGGAGAGGAGAGTTAGATGGAGAAAGGAGCAGAGTCCTCCAGCAGTGCAGAATATTTCAGGAGAGGAGAGTTAGATAGAGGAAGGAGCAAAGTCCTCCAGCAGTGCAGAGTATTTCAGGAGAGGAGAGTTAGATGGAGGAAGGAGCAGAGTCCTCCAGCAGTGCAGAGTATTTCAGGAGAGGAGAGTTAGAAGAAGGAGCAGAGTCCTCCAGCAGTGCAGAGTATGTCAGGAGAGGAGAGTTAGAAGAAGGAGCAGAGTCCTCCAGCAGAGCAGAGTATTTTAGGAGAAGAGCGTTAGATAGAATAAGGAGCAGAGTCCTCCAGCATTGCAGAGTATTTCAGGAGAGGAGAGTTGGATAGAATAAGGAGCAGAGTCCTCCAGCAGAGTATTAGGTCACAGGTTTCTCTGTTCTATGTACTTACAGGTCCTTATTACTGTGCTGCGGCAAACTCCGTGATGGCCACCACCACATGTATGAAGGTCCCTTCAGCCATCAGCATCGCTGCAATAAAAACGTATACACAAACTGCCGCAAACACAGGATTAGTTGACCCCCTGTCCAACCTGGGCCGCGGCCGGGTCTTTATCTTTTCTGGAACAAGAGACAGTGTCCTCCTACAAGGTGAATTTACTGTTTATGTTCTCATGCTTTTCGGTTTCATAGGCTAATGTTTTGTAATCTGTAAAATTGTGCGTTTTTTAATTGCTAATATGGAGGGATTTTTTGGCTCCTCTAGCTCCCCCTCCCCCAATTCAGAAGTATTAATGCCATACATTGCATTTTTAGATAAAGGGGTGCAATGGCCACTTCCATGCTTCTATGATGACAGATCAGCTGCCCATACCACCCCTATATAAACAAAGGTGGGTATAGCACAGGCGACAATAAAGTTGCCCTATTGTCTTCTATGGCAGCTCGTTGCCCTCGCTACTGAAGCCCCCAAAGTTCCTATGTTGGTAGCCCCACCCTTTGGTTTCTATGTGGCAGCACTCAAACATGGCAATAGGTTGGTCAGGATTCCTATTCTTGCAATGTCCTGATTTTTCCAAAAGCCCCCTGGCAGTGCCCTGCGGAGGTGAAGGGGGGGGTGTCTTAACCAAAGGCACCTTACAATTTCTGTTGTATAAAGGGATTATTTTCATTTCACCTATACACATGACAAAAGTTCAATATTCATTTTTACTGAAAGTCCTTCCAATATGCATCATATACCATGCATATTAGGTTTCCCTGCAGCTGCTGAAATCTTTCAAAATTAGAGGCAAGTGGGATTCCCCAAAAAAGAAAATGATGCCCGCCCAGCACACCCTCTGATGCGAGTTCACTGTGCATCTGCCTCATCAGTGCTGAGATCCTACTCTGATAAAACCTCCTAATAACTCTGTGTTTAGTTCCATCACTGACTTTCTGTCTTACTGCTGCTCACAGGGGTGGCCCAGAAGCTGCAGGAGTTCTATACCAGCTATATCAGCTCTGCATCTATCAAAACTGTATACACTGTGGCTGCTGAGCATGGGATGGTGAGTTGGACCTTGTACTGATTACATTGTATTCTCAGACCTCTGAATCCAACGTGCCATTTGTAGGCCATGTCTCCGGGCTTGTTAGGAGGAAATAGGCTGATGTGACTGGCTCAGTGTTCTCTATACGGCCCTGAGGGATATGTCAGAGCTATAGAAATGTATAATAGTGTGTGACTATGAAGGGGATATTAGAGTGTAAGCTCCTCTGGTGCAAAAAAGTGTCATGTGACAGTTTTTCTAAAACAATACAGATGAATTATTTTAGGATAGTGGTAGAGCGCCAGAGCCCAGAAGTAGCTGCAACCTCTGCGACCCTGGTAGTTCTGCCAGTGACTCCAAGCTGTAGAGGGACTTCTGATCCCAGCAATACAATATACATCAATGCAGAATACCACCAGCTATAGAGGACTACAAATCTCAGCAATGGAGAATACCGCCAGCTATAGAGGACTACAAATCTCAGCAATGGAGAATACCGCCAGCTATAGAGGACTACAAATCCCAGCAATACATTATACAGCAATGCAGAATACCACCAGCTATAGAGGATTACAAATCACAGCAATACATTATACAGAAATGCAGAATACCACCAGCTATAGAGAACTACAAATCCCAGCAATACATTATAGAGCAATGCAGAATTATATGAAGCCACATACTCTGTGTAGCTCCAGGGTGGCAGCCTGATATCTCAGGAGGGCTGTGCCGGGCTCTCTGGTGGGCTGTGCCGGCTCTCTGGTGGGCTGTGCCGGGCTCTCTGGAGGGTTGTGCCGGACTCTCTGGTGGGCTGTGCCGGGGTCTCAACAGGGGTCTGGAGGGTCTCGTAGGTGGCAGAAGTGCTGTAAGCAGCCCTGCAGGGTTCCAGGGGGAAAGAGGAAGAGTTGGTGGCAAGCGCTATAAACAGGCGCCACAGTTCACAGGAAGGCTGCCGAGGTTCCCGGCAAGCATTGGACCTCAGGCAGCTGCTTCAGTTTAAAAATGTTAAGCGCCGGTATCAGTGTTCGTTTTGGGACATTTTCATGAGTACTCCTGAAAATGGCCAGTGTTGGCACCAATACATATATCAGTATCAATGCATCCCTAATAATAATAGTGTGTGACTATGAAAGGGACATTAGACTGTGATGTGGTGCATTCTTGTGAGTGGCTCAGTGTTCTCCGTACAGCAATGTAGAATATGTCAGAGACATACAAATGTTTTATAATAGTGTGTGACTGTGATGGGGACATTAGAGTGTAAGCTACAGTACTCGCCGATACCTTTTTTTTAATTTTAAGTGTCATGTGACAGTTTTTCTAAATCAATACAGATGAATGATTTTAGGATAGTGGTAGAGCGCCAGAGCCCGGAGGTAGCTGCAACCACTGCGACCCTGGTAGTTCTGCCAGTGACTCCAAGCTGTAGAGGGACTTCAGATCCCAACAATACAATATACATCAATGCAGAATACCACCAGCTATAGAGGACTACAAATCTCAGCAATGGAGAATACCGCCAGCTGTAGAGGACTACAATTCCCAGCAATACATTATACAGCAATGCAGAATACCACCAGCTATAGAGGACTACAAATCCCAGCAATGCAGAATACTACCATCTATAGAGGACTACAAATCCCAGCAATACATTATACAGCAATGCAGAATACCGCCAGCTATAGAGGACTACAAATCCGGGCAATGCAGAATACCGCCAGCTATGGAGGACTACAAATCCCAGCAATACATTATACAGCAATGCAGAATACTGCCAGCTATAGAAGACTACAAATCCCAGCAATGCAGAATACTACCATCTATAGAGGACTACAAATCCCAGCTATACAGCAATGCAGAATTATATGAAGCTACATACTCTGTGTAGCTCCAGGGTGGCAGCCTGATATCTCAAGAGGGCTGTGTCGGGGTCTCTGGTGGGCTGTGCCGGGCTCTCTGGTGGGCTGTGCCGGGGTCTCACCAGGGGTCTGGAGGGTCTCGTAGGTGGCGGAAGTGCTGTAAGCAGCCCTGCAGGGTTCCAGGGGGAAACAGGAGGAGTTAGTGGCCGGCGCTATAAACAGGCGCCACAGTTCACAGGAAGGCTGTGTGTGACTATGAAAGGGACATTAGACTGTGATGTGGTGCATTCTTGTGAGTGGCTCAGTGTTCTCCGTACAGCAATGTAGAATATGTCAGAGACATACAAATGTTTTATAATAGTGTGTGACTGTGATGGGGACATTAGAGTGTAAGCTTGTCTGGTGCGGCGACTGATGTAATTGGCTTGGTGTTTTCTGTACAGCACTGTGGAATATGTCAGAGCTATATAAATGTATAGTAATAATAATAATAGTGTGTGACTGTGGTTGAGCATTTAGAGTGTAAGCAAAACCTGATGTGAAAGGTTCAGCTATTTTTGTCCCGAGTATGTGAAATCAGCAGAATAAATAGACACACACACACACCACACACCACACACACACACCCTTACACACACACACCCTTACACACACACTTTTCAATTCTGAAGCAATCATTTTTTCTTCCAGCCCACTGACAGCTACGGCGGAGCATGCGGAACAACTAACAATGATTATATCAATAACTGCAACTACAATGGTGCTTATGAAGCTCTGAATCACCTCTATGGAGGGCTGCAGGTGAGCTGAGAATCCCTTGCAGTGACACTGGCAGCCATAATGGATTCATGGGCTGACATCTCTCTTTTTCCTTCCAGAAACCCAGCAGCAGTGCCGGACAGTCTGGACAGGTACATTTCATAACATATTGCTACATAAATGTTTTCTACCAAAAAGTTGAGAATTGCAGGAAATATGGTACACTTATAACCTATGGAGCTAAAGAGGCCCTGTCACCTTGCCCGATCAGAACAAAAGGAAAGGGTCTGTTCAAAGCTCACGCTCTGTCCAACTTATTCTCTCTTTAGAATGCTCTGCCTGTCCTTCTTTCTCCACTGCAAAATACCTTTTGTTGGCTGGTGTCAGACCTTTCCAGGAGCAATGATGTCACTTCTATGTGAGAGGGCTTGGGCTTCATGATTGGCCAAACCGAAGCATTGCATCATGGGAGGAGGTAACATTCTCCCCTATACCCAAGAATACCTGATATTTTGCAATGATAAATATGGAAGGAAGCGCATTGTGGGACCAATGGGACACTGAGTATAAAATGGTGGGGTGGGGTGGGCTTTAAACAGTCCCCCTTTTTGACTTTGCTCTGAATGGGCAACGTGACAGAATCTCTTTATTATATCCAATGTCTGTTGGAAGCTCTGGATGCTGTGGTTAATTATTCAAAATGGCTGCACCCAAAGATAGTTTAGTGCCCCCTTGTCACTTTAAAACTGATACTGACAGGCTGCATTTTTCATGTGCTGGAGTCCCAATCTGCATCTCCAGTGTAAGTGTGTGCTGAGACCTCCAGTGTAAGTGTGTGCTGAGACCTCCAGTGTGTGTGCTGAGACCTCCAGTGTCAGTGTGCCATTGTGCTGAGACCTCCAGTATCAGTGTGTCATTGTGCTGAGACCTCCAGTATCAGTGTGTCATTGTGCTGAGACCTCCAGTATCAGTGTGTCATTGTGCTGAGACCTCCAGTATCAGTGTGTCATTGTGCTGAGACCTCCAGTATCAGTGTGTCATTGTGCTGAGACCTCCCGTATCAGTGTGTCATTGTGCTGAGACCTCCAGTGTCAGTGTGTCATTGTTCTGAGACCTCCAGTGTCAGTGTGTCATTGTGCTGAGACCTCCAGTATCAGTGTGTCATTGTGCTGAGACCTCCAGTGTCAGTGTGTCATTGTTCAGGAAACCCCAAAATAATCCAATTTGAATGTATTATATCCACAGCTCATCCTTTATAACCAAGCAGAATTTTTTAACTTGGCCCCTCCAATCACCTACAGCATGGACACGGCAGGATACGTCTATGTCCCTTCAGCATGCGCGAGTGGTACAAGTAAGTAATTGGGGGCTTTTGTAGACACCCCATAATGTGGAATTGTTTAATGTACGGTTACATATAAAACACAGCACTGTAGTCTTTAACCTTTGATTTATAATATTTTAGGATGCAGACTGCATATTGCGTTCCATGGATGTCTCCAGGGCAGGTAATATCTTTTTCTCTGTTCTGCCATGTTAAAATATTGTATACAATGCAGCTGTTGAATGCGTGGTGTGATAAATCCATGGACGGGTGAAATATAAAAGTATATTTATTAGACATGTAACCCCGCAAAAAAAATTGTTTAGTTTTGTATCCATTTGGATTTTTATTCCCTCCATTTTTTGGATTTCGGATCAGAATCGATTTGGTATTCAGATTTTGGATAAGAAATTCGGTTCGTTATTCAGATTTTGGATCCGTCTGAATTTTCGTTTCAGAACAATCCACAACAGGAAGTCACATGACTGTGCCTGTAATGCAACCCCCAACAGCCAAAAAAAACATCCAATTGGCCACAGAACAGCCACACGTCCCGATTTAGTTTAGCTTTAAAAGCATTTCGGTCGGATCTGAATTTTCGTTAAACAACCATTCGGATTCGTTTGCATTTGGACGAGTTGGAATTCCAAAATTCGGATGCGTCCAAATGTCCCAATTTAACTAAATTCATACGAATATCCATTCTGAACGAAACTAAATGTACATGTCTAAAATGTATTGCTTTAAAGTTCTAACACGTTTCGGGAGTCTTAGAATGCCCTCATCTTCAGGGCTGCAAATAAACAATGGAACATAGAAAAATTATCTGGAAGTTAAACTTCCTATACGAAATCTAAATATTGGAAAACTGAAAATCTAAAAATTCACGACAGCAGCAAAGATTGACTAGTCTGTGCTTTTGTTCTTTGGTGGAGGACTAAGACACATAGCTGCTGGTATCAGCACATCTGAAGAAAGGCGAATGTCTCCCCATCCATCATTCTTATCCATCCATCTACACCTCTATTCTATACAGGCTTCAAATGGTTTACCACAATGTTTGAAAACCTTGTTGTATTACAGGGAGAAGGTTGGCGATAGGTTTGCCAGATACGCTGGTTACAACCAAGTTGCCGATCTCAATAATTTCATCATCCTCTATCCTCAAGCCAGGTCCTCTTTGACCAACCCTAATGGATGCTGGGACTGGTAAGTGCTCTGGTTTTGTTATACTGCATTGCACTTGCCCCTGGGAAAATGCAGCTATGGCCCTTGGTTCCAGGTCTCGTGATGGAAAGCTATGGCAGCAATGTGTGGACATCAGTAGGGTCTTTAATGTGGATGGACGTACAGTAAAAAGAAGGGAGCACCAAAAGTATCACTAACAGTCCAGTTAGTTTCTATTTATCACAATAGTGGAAAATGAAAACCAAATGTGCTTCAGGACTTCCTCAACCCACCTTCATAAGTGCTTATTAAAGTAAAAGCTGGCAGAGAAGAGGACCAAGGGAAGATATCCTGGGGTGAATTTGGAATGAATGTGTTTAGAGCTTGCTCAGGTGACTTGTGCAAACTCTTAACAGGTGCTTACCAAACCTTCCCCTAGATACATTTTCTTACCTTCCAGATTTTACTTGTCTATGCTCTGATGAAGGTGAGTTGGAGAAGCCTCAGGAATGCATTAGTTATCATGTAACTATACATTTTTGTTCTCTTCTTTCTACCATACTTGCTGCTGTTGTCCTGAGGACCTTCTTTTGGGCCCATCATATTTTTAGAAAAGCTGCCTGTAATAAAACTATCTTCAGGATCGAATATCAAAAATCAGAATAACCACTTGAATTAGGTTCCAGTGCATCACCATTATATCTCCCTTCAAAGTGGAAGGAGGCTCTGCTGGCACAGCGCAGGGCCGTTAGCGGTCATGTCATCAAACATACTGCATGTATATTAAAGCAGACCTTTACACTCAAAAATCAAATTCCACCAATACATCCCTCTATGTATGATGAGTAATAATAACATAGACATGTCAGGTGTAAAATGCTCTGATTTTGAAATACTTACACTTGCAGAGCATTCACTTCCTGCTTTGAAAGTGCAAATGACTTCAGTTTGCCAAAGCAATGCACACTGGGATTGCCCTGTCATCAGCAGAGCATTGCTGGGGAAATCTCACCTGTAATCTCAGGAGATCTCAGGGAAAGGCATTTTCCTCCCCTGAGATGATGTGCATGGTCAGATGTCCTAGTCCCATGTGCCAGAGTTCCAGGAAGTAATAGGAGAGCTAGTAATCTGCCCTTAGTAAAGATGGCCACTGTCAGAAGACTGGGGAAGAAAAAAGATATAAAAAGTGCAAAGAATAAAAAGCCGGCAATTATCTAGAAGTATGTGTTTGTAGATTGTCATCACTAAACATGTCTAAAGTTGTGTTTGCTATTTTAAAGCTATGGGTAAAGGTCCTTTTTAAGTTTATATGGAGGTCCTTTTAACCCCGTCCTTACTTGCTACTGATAAAAAAGACATAAACTCAGAGACTGGGTCTAATTCAGATTTCACTTCTTCATCTTACAAAGACTTTAGTTTAGCAGAATGATCTCATAAGCTAATTTTTTATATTCTGATTACTTCTAGGTGGGGATACACAGGCTTTGCATATGGTAAGTACACATACCTCCCAACTTGGCAGAAATAGGGGGGTATTTCAGCACCAAAATGTACTATATATATATATATATATATACAGTATATACATTTGCAGCCGTATACATTTATTTAGTGCTTACTTATTGTGTTTAACTTTCCAAATCCCTATACTTAGTGATTCAATCTGCCATCTCCCTTCCCCTACACAGTACCTTAAATATGTTTACCCTTCCCAATGTTTACCCCCTCCTCTTTCTTATGTGACCTTGTTTATAAATTTAGTGTTCATATCCCCAACCTCTCCTTTCCCCCCACCCCCCAATTTCGTCCTCACCTCTCTTTGATCAGGTCTAGGTCTGGGCGATTTTATCCTATTCCTTATCCTCGTATCATTATATACAACATTTACCTATAAAAGATAATAATTGACCATAATAGAGAAAAATTATTTTACCCACGAATACACATTTATTAATTTATTACAGGACCTGTCTAGAATCTCTTTAGTCTCATGACTATTCAATCAGGTCATAAATAGAAGATGTGAACATTCTAATTTTGGAGAATAATCTTATTTGTATGATTCCTTATATGATTTCTACTCCCATCATAGCATGAAATTCCTCAGTAACTCTATATTTTATCCAGTTTGACCAGGTTCTGTAATAGTTATCTGTTCTATCAGAATCTTCCACCACCATCCTCTCTATTTTCATCATATCATTTATCACCCTCACCCAATTTCCTATTTGCCGATAAGCCAAACCCAAGAATATCTCTTTTAATATTTTTCAGAGATCCCTGTATAAGTGACAATAAAGTAACTTTTGGGGCAAATTCAACTGTATTGGGTTGCATTAGATTACTAAACAGTATATATCCTAAAAATATCTATCCAAAATGAATGGATTTTATCTCAGCTCCACCATATATGTAGATAAGTTCCCTCCTGCTTCAAACATCTCCAACATCTGTCTGAAAATGATGGATTATTATAATGTAACCTCTTTGGATACCCGTACCATCAAGTCACCAATTTATAATGTTTCTCTTGGTGATAGGTAGAGAGGTTAAAGGAATAAAGTATTGTACATATCTATCTCCACTCGATATCTGAAATTTCCCTACCAAGACCCTGAGTCCATGCCCATGTAAAGGATGCTTTCTTGGTAGCCC